GGAGTTAGGAAAAGGAGGTGAGACGAGTTCAGCTCGGAAGTGCAAAGGGGTTTGTGAAGAGACAATCTACTCAATTAACTGGTTTTGCACTCTAATTAGATAGAAACCTTACAATTCTTCATAAGATATTTGTAAGTTCAAATTGTAGTCTGTTTGAAGTTCTACAGCGTTCTTCCAGAATTGAGAAAAGTTGGGTTAACCGCCTTAACCCAACTAACCCTCCATTTCACTTCTCAAATGAAAAAACAAAGCAGGAAATCTAATCTCATCTTCTCGGTTTACCAAAAGTACGAGCCCTCACGTCTACCGTAATCCATAATGTCCAACGGCCAAAGAAATCATCTAAGCCTTCGGATACTTTACCCTCCTCTCTCTCTACCAGGAACAATCGCCCAGTACCGGAAATAGCTTCTGACAAGAGCGCCGCTAGCGCGCGCCCATTATTACGAGAGAAGATCGAACGGACGTCGAACGGGTGCCGCCGCACTGGAAATGCATAGAAAGAGCAGCTCTACTGTATTCAAAAAACGAGGAGAAGGAAGTGACGCCCATTTATGATTCGACGGATGAGATGGAATTTCTGGGCAAGGGTTATGGTAGGGCGATAGTAGAAGGATATGGAGAGATTTCGTTGGAAGAGAGATTTCTACATATGAGTTTATGTGGGGGAAAAGCAGGAGGCAGAAGTAGAACCGAATCAGAAAAGGAATGGCCCACCTTCAGCTGCGCGCGATTTCCAGTTCTAGGGAACGGCGCTGCTTTTTCACGCCTCACATGCTGGTTGCAGACGTCGCGCCGAGGCTGAAATGGACCGGGACTGAGCTGAAAAGCACAGGGAGGGCAAAATCGAAGCCGGAACGAATAATCCGAGTCTAAAGGCTGCTCTCTACTCACCTGCGCCATCCTTGAGATCGATATCGGTGCAGCGAGCAGATGTGATGGCTCCACGCCAGCTTCGCTCCACAACGACGGTGGCGGCGGCGACGACGTCGGCGGGACCTGAGATGAAGGCGCGGGTTAACTAGCGCGAGCTGAGAGCAACGACACCGCTCATCGCGGTTGCATAGAGTACATCTCGCTTTGTTTGAGTCATCAGTGGAGGGGATGCGGGAGGCCGCAATGCAAAAAACCGTTATCGATTCATCCCAGAGACGAACACACACACACTCACATACACACATACACCACACACACATACATACACATATATACACACACCGGCTGCACGAACTTGCAGCAGGCTCGGCCAACAGCGAGGAATGCAATGAAGGAGGAGGGACATACACGTACCTCATAGCTTTGGCGAATCGACGCCGGTCGACGACGGCGACGCACCTCGTCCTGCTGGCGGCACACGTTTCGAGGCTAAAACACACGAGAGGTTATTGAGAGCAGCCAACAGGTGGTCGCTGACTGGCTGAGGTCGTTTTGCTAGAAATGCATGCCGTAACTGGTAGAGCTATTCTCAAATATAAAAATGTTTAAGAGTGAGTAAAGTTGTCTTTGTTCGTTTAATGCGAACTGCTTCTAAGGTTCCACAATTCCATAACGAAACTGGAACGGATGGGGCTGAATTCCTGGACGCAACGGAAGCGTATCTTTTATATGAAACATCACCTTCAAACCGGTTCCACCGCATTCTCTACTATTACAAAAGAGTTCGAAAAAGAGACTTTATCGAGGAAGATACAAACATGAAAAGAGTTTTTTCCTGTCGGGTGGAGG